TCTTGTATCTATTGTGTATTAGTTTTAGAAATTAAAATACACTCAATATTATATATATATATATAAATATATATATGTATATTATAACTCTACTCAAAGTTACGTAGTGTATGTATATGAACATTCTTAACAAACCAAATTGATTTTTAAATAACTTTTGAAGCCATTCAAATTTCAATCAATTTAAATGTTTTATAATTATTGATATAAGCGTTGTATACAATCATAGCCAAAAATGTTATAACTTATAAACAAGACGACAAGGGAAACACCATTATTTTTATAAGAAACAAATTTACTCTCAGATTCAAAATATAAAATAATATTTGATAAACTTTCTTACAGACATTACTTTAGTTATAAAGTTCATTTTCTAAATGTTTCAAAAACTGAGAGTAGTCCTTTTATACTCAAGGTACAATTATATACATATAAATATTAAACTTCCCAAGTATTTTACTTTACAGGAAGTAACTATACTAGGAAGGAAGTATAAGTATATGCAATGTGTGGTTAAGCCAAACATATAGATAGACATATTGTTACATGCCTCTGCTTCCTCTTCTTCTAAATGTTTCCTGCCATTTTTCATATTTTTAATAAAAATAATTAACAAACGTCTGTTTTTCAAAATAAAAAAAGTTTAAATTTACTATACTTAATTTAATAAAAACTAATCGTCGAAGTTCTAGTTTTGTTTATCGCGTTAAAATAAGTATAATTACCAGAACGATGCGCTGCAGATATGCATTGTAATTTGTAATATTATATAATAATATATTACTCTAAAATAAGTAAAGTTTTGAAAATACGTTTATTCAATATTTAAACTATCATCATTTGTTTTTATTTTGACTACTTTAGCTTGTAAAGACAAATTGTTATATACATTTTTTAAGAATAAAATATATAATATAGGTGTAGTAATAATTATTTGTTTGTTAAAATGTTTAAAACATTATGCAATGGTAAATTAATTTTCAAATAATGAAATGTTGAATAATATTAAAACTAATTGTAACTACATAATTAAAAAATATATTGTATGCAGTTAAACATTTTACTCTTAAACTAAAATTAATTTATTAATTTAACCCCATAATAATATGTTTTTATAAATATTTAGATGCTAAAATAATTCAAATATATTTTCTGAGTTATTAGGTTATGTCACCTGAAATGTTACTAACAATTTTTCTAAAAAAGATATAGATTCTATATTTTGTCCCTCAGGAAGTAACAATTAATTTTTTTAAATTGTGCGAGGATATTTAAAAACACAGAAAACATATTATTATGCTCATAATTAATATAATTAATTTAGTTTGTACCGAAATTCCGATTGTAAGTATTTTATACTTATTGTGACCGTGTTATTTTAAAAGTAAAGAGTTTTTGGTTCTAAACTATCCGATTGTTTTGACAACATAGGTATTGTTCTCCCAGAAGTGTTTTATTTTATAATTTTTAAAAATTGTTTTTATTTATTATACCTTTTATGCTTACCACAGTTATTTTACGCAGTGACACTCGTTTGTAGTAGATTGCGGATTCGAAACTTAAATTCTCGGTCGAAAAATTACTGTTGACAATTACAAATGAAACGATAATACAATACACATAAATATATGACTTCGGTTTGGATGGACAAATCCCTGGGTGTCGTATGAGCTGAACGTTGACGGCGGTTGTAAGAGCCGCTAAAGCGGTTCGCACGCGTTTTATATGGGGAGGATTTAGTAGCGCCGGCGGTATTGCGAAGGCGCTGCAGCACGTCACGCATGTCCTGGTCCCTTCGACTCGGTACGCGAGTAAATCATCACTCGGTTAATTAATATAAAATGTGACTTAGACGCCAATCTACCTTGTCAACATTTACTTTCTGCAGACCATAATATTAGACTATTCGTTAATACTCAACTCGGCTTCCGGTTACCACGATGCACGCACCGCGTGGGTCAACAAGATATTATTTTCAGTGTATACACGAGACATTTCGTACTCTTGGTTTTGATAATTGACACCAAAACAACGACTACTGTTAATTAACTTTACGGCCGCCTCGTCTCAAAGTACGACGTACAATTTCTTGTTATGATTAATTATAATAAATAAAAATAAATAGTACACATATTCACTATGTATAACATGATAAATACAATTAATTTATAAGGAACACCTTAAAATCGAACAAGAGTGGTTTTTGTGATATAGTTTACAAAAATTAATTTTTTAACTAAAATCCATCGACAAATTACGAAATTATTAAAAATAATGAAACAAAACCAAATAATAATTTTAAAAATATATATTTTTTTCAATACTAAGGCAATTTAAAATCAACGAAAGCACTAAAGTCTAAACACTAAAATAGGTATTTTATTTTATTGTATATTTTAAGATTAAATGTTTGTCAAAAGATCAAAAAAAAAAAACCAACGACATTAGATGCCAAACTGTTATAGTTATCAACTGTCGCCATAAGAGATCGTATAAACTAAACATAATATCGGCCGGCGTATCTTATAGGCAATACTGATACACTAGTGTCAACAGAAATTAAAATTAAAAACGCGATTTCTCAAATTTAACATTTATTTGTTAATTAATTGTTTTTAATACTAAAAAGCTACTTTGCTGATGAGCCTATTCTAAAATCATACAATATTTTTTAAATTAAAAATAAAAATATTATATTTCTATAATCATATCACATATCTTCGCTACTGCAGCCTACAAGTCGTATTTCAAACTTAACTTCTTGATGATTCAATAATATAATACCTACATCCAAATTTGGTGCAGACATTTCTTGTGATAATGTTAAAAAGAATACTTTTTGCAACTGTGGTTGAGCTTCTTGTAATATATTCAATTCTAAATTGGTTTAGTTTTAACAGAAATAAAGAACAATTCATGTATAGTAAATTATACTCATACCTATTCTTATAATTAATGGTTTAATATTAAATTAAAATTACGAAGAGTTTTATTTTTTAGGTAAACAATACGATACACAACTCGGAATTACATTAGGAATTCATTGGCTAAAAGAAAGTCGTATAACTATTGATTTTTAATGTAAAACTATTTCATTTCTATTTCATTGGAAACATATTATTAAAAATAGTATACATGCTTCACTATATTCAAATTCTAAACGACTAAAATACTTCACTACATAATGCCGGTTATATAGTAAATTCAATTTACTACTAAACAATTATTATAATAAATGGTTAACTGTTGAGTAAATAATACATTTTTAGTATACCATGTCAATTTCAGATTTTTCCACAAATCATACGACTTTGTTACATAAAAATTTTTAAATTGTAAACAAAATACTTAATTTTGTTTCACAAGCAATACAGTGTACCGACTTAATTAAATATTTTAATAGCATTGTCTTGTCACAGTCGCTTATAACCTATAACGCACTTTAATTTAATGGCTAAATAATAGGGTTGGGACTAAAATTCGAGTACCGCGGGTATCCATTTAATTATAATTAACCTGTTTTTGTTTTTTTTTTGATAACCTACCTAAACTTATAAAATATTACCTACCTAACTTTACTTTTTTTATAACATTTTTTTTTAAACATCTACAATTATTAAATACATTTATACTTATATCCCCCATTCCTATGGATTCACATATATTCGAAACTATCTGGATGTCGGATGACCGGATATCCGGTTAAGTAGGGTCAGCCCTACTACACAGTGTAATAAAATGGAGAATTGAGCAAAAAATGTATATTCATGAAACATTTATATTCTACCGAGGAAATCGATCAAACAACAAATGTAATTCAACGTATAGGTTATTTTTTTGTATATTAAACATATAATATACCTACATAGTACCTACGTAAGTGCAATAATTCAACACACTGTACAGTGTGTTTTATTAGAATAGGTATATAATATAGTGTAACGATATTTACTACCTATACATGGTGTGTCGTAAAATAAATTCGTCTATCTAGTGTAGAGCTACTTAGATATTAGTTTCGAAATGGGAAAAAGCATTGTAGCCGCGTCACGGTAAACCTATGTCTTGTAAACGCTAAAACCTCATATTGTCTATACGGCTTGTGGGTCCTATAGTGTTTTGATAAGGGCGCGGACGGGCAATTTGCGCACATGCCCACGTTTTCGCATCCCTGGACAATTACGCGGATATAAGACCTCACATCCTTTACGGGGAACGAAACTTTGACTGTTAATGGACTTGGACTTTTACGCTCTCTAATTAGATAATGGCACGCGTTAACGTTCTAGGCTTGTAAGGTACGTTTGTGTAATATTAAACCGCCTCCGTCACTTTATTCGTTAAAAAGTATTAAAATGTTGTGTTTTTTTAGAAAAATAATCGCCGTCTACTCGTTATTCCGCCGCAAAGCGAATCCTACACAGTGTTCACATATAGGTGCTATTATTTCCAGACCCATTCTTTACGTGTCCACTCTCCAAATCCGATGTTATATTAACGCGACGTGACATAACGTCCAAGGTGCGACTGTATAGAACGGTTGTACGTGAACTGACTTATTCCACGACCTCGTTGTATTAACTGGCATTGTTAATATGGTGTTAAATATTATATATGGATTTTTTTCATGTTTTTTTTTTTTTTTTTTTTTTTTTTTTATCGCCATTACCACGGAATGCGGTGGAAATCCTTTTTTCAGTGCGTTCACGATAATGCTCTTTAATTCCTAGGGATCATTTATTATTTTCACGCCGTCATACGTGGAGGATACAATTTTTCTCTCTCCCACATGCCGCTTAATATCAAAACGGATTTTTTTTTTTTCACATTCCGCCTGACTATTTAGACCGCGTATTATAACCGTATACGGGTATAGTGCAACTAGAACGAGTGATTGGCTCAAATGTCAACAACACTACTAATCCGGATCGCAGGTCAACACACGTTCTGCTGTGTAGTGTAGCTGCAAAAGTGCAACGATATGACCCATAAGGTTTCAGCCGGTGTCCCAAGCCCGGCGACTTCTAACGGCACAGTTCGTTTTAGGTAATCGCCGTCGTTAACCAACCTATCCCCGAGGGAATTCGCTCAACGACTTGGCAACGCGTTTGCGTGGGTAAAAAAAAAACCAGGCCAGCTTGCGATTTTCCATTGTGCAAAGTCACAGCGATCGTTATACAATATGTTATTCTACTCTTTTTATAGGTATTCGCCATGACAAAATCACAGTCAAAAGAGGACCTGATCGGGTCTAAAGACCAACTGCGAACAGATAGAAAATCATTTGTCTTACCGCCAGATTATGTACTGACACCCACAGAGAAGAAATTCCTATTGCTTGTCGAACGAGGCGACTGCGCATCTGTTCAGAGGTACGTACGTGCATCATAATCTATGATTAGTACAGTATTAGATTACAATAACTAAATTCTTTGGTGAGAACACGGACGGTTTGCATGGAAATCGTATGCTATATCCTTGCGACGGTTGATATATCTTCTGTTATTTTCATTCAAATGTAACAAAACAAATTCAATTCGTTTTAACTTTTAAGATCAACAAAATATGTAATTAGACTCAAAACGAATAAGCGGTTAATATTTTATAATTTTGGTTAAGATACATTTTTACTTTGTACCACTTGAATTCGGTCCAGATTTTTTTAATAAAACGGCAATTAAGAAAATTTTTGTTCAAGCAGTGTAGTCCAACAAAGTTGGGTTTTTGGTATCACGTAATCATTCTATGAATTGGCTTTTAAATTTTGAACTTTTAACTGTATTGGAATTAAACTAAAATGATTATAAATCCGTCAGTAATTATTGGATTCTCCAATTTAAATATTCAAGGAAAATTTAAAACATATTGTATTAAAAGAACACACATTTTTTTAATCAAGTGTGTTTAAAATTTTGTATGGTTTGTAATTGATGCGACTATTGTGAAGCACATTTTAATCGCTTTAAAACAATTTACATAGTATTAATACGATTCATTGGTTATTTTTTATAATTACACAATATAAATAAAATAACAGCCAGCATAATGGGATTGAGATAGATTGAGGACGGAGTATACTTGGATTGGGGAGGTTCGGGTCTAGGATCTTCAGGAATTATTGTAACTGAGTCCACGGTAGGTTCCACGAGGTTTTATTAATGTAATTAATATCTCATTCCCTATATCCCTAGATCCGATTTTTAATCTATATACCTTGCACATGAAGAATCAGGCTGGCGTTTAACAAGTTATCGTTGTCCAGATACACAAACAGTGTGATAAAACACATTAATGCAAAATGAATACATTTAAGTTTAAGATGTGTTTAATATATTTTCTTATAGCTGTTTGAAACAGTTTTACTTAAAATTTAACAATAATAAATCTATAGATTAAGGCTGATAAATGTAACATTAATATGTAACGATAGTTAGGAATCTAGTATCTACGAGTAGGTACTGTTTTCGGTACAGACAGTGAAATTTTTCATAAGTTATTTATTTAATTCGAGCAAGTGTTTAATTCTCATTTCTTTGATTTTCCGTTTTGTATAATAATATAAAATAATTTTATTGATATTAATAAGTGTCAAACGTATAAGTACAATGCATGTAAAATACATAGGTCCAACATTATCGTACAAACACATCTCACGTCTTATTATCCTATACAGGTTGATCAACGAACACAAGGGGCAGCCGGAAGTGTTGAACATTGATTGTACTGATCCGTTAAACAGAACCGCATTGATAGCGGCTATTGAAAATGAAAATATGGACTTGATACAGTTGCTGTTGAAAGCTGGTATTAAGGTAAAAGACGCGTTGTTGCACGCCATCAAAGAGGAGTACGTCGAGGCCGTTGAGTTGTTGTTGGAATGGGAGGAAAAAGTACACGTCGAAGGACAACCCTATGTAAGTGAAAACTATTGACACAAAACAGTAAGCACTATACTGACGTATAGTAATGTATTATAATATCATGTCATAAAATATAGTCTTGGGAAGCGGTGGAGCAATCAGCTTCGACGTTCACTCCGGATATCACTCCGCTAACATTGGCTGCACACATGAACAACTACGAGATATTAAAAATATTATTAGACAGAGGTGCTACCTTACCAATGCCCCACGACGTCAGGTTAGTCGACTTCTAATGAAATATGATTAATATTAATTACTTTTCCCTATAATGCCTTCAGCTCAGAATTCATATTGACTCTTGGATTAATACATATTCGTAAGTTCGTGTATCCAAAAAAAAATATTTAGCCTTATCTCAAAAAAAAAAAAATTTTTTTTTGTTAAATATGTCAACTTTCTATCGCTCTATTATAAACGAATTATATTATCATTGAATCACAAAACGATTCTATTATATTAGCGGAAAACTTGCCGAGCTGTATGGCCTATGCCTTATAGATGAAGATGTTAATCGCTAAAGAGTATCTGAATCAAAGGGATATAGTAAATTAATCTCGAATTCTTATATAAATTAAAAGATTTTTACTTTTCAGGTGTGGTTGTGACGAATGTATTACTTCCAGTACCCAAGATTCGCTGCGTCACTCGCATTCGAGGATTAACGCCTATAAAGCACTGACTTCGCCGTCCCTTATAGCTTTATCATCGAGAGATCCGCTGCTCACCGCGTTCGAATTGAGTTGGGAGTTGCGAAGACTTAGTACAATGGAATCCGAATTTAGAAACGAATACAATGTATGTGCGCCGAGATCGGTGGCTAATGAACTGTTTGGACTGGATGATAAATATCATTAATCAGCTACTGTGGTGTTTAAAACAGGAAATGAGAAACACCGTCCAAACGTTCGCGACGTCCCTGTTGGACCACGTGAGGACTTCTTACGAATTGGAGATAATGCTAAATCATAACCCCAAAGGCGATCCGTGGGAACCTGGCGAGAGATTGACCCTAGAGCGTCTTAAATTGGCAATAAAATACAAACAAAAAGCGGTAAAAAAATAATATGCAGACAAATAACCGTAGCTAACCGTCACGTGTGTGATCATTTATTTTGAAGTAAAAACCGGGTTTGCAGTTTGTAGCTCATCCAAACGTTCAACAGCTGTTGGCCGCTATTTGGTACGACGGACTTCCAGGATTTCGCCGGAAGAGTATGGTAGGGCAAATGATCGAAGTCGGCAAGTTAGGTGCAATGTTTGCTATGTACGGTACCATGTACATGTTGAATCCGGAATCAAAAATGGGTCTACTAATGAAGAAGCCGTTTATAAAATTCGTTTGTCATTCGTCATCGTACGCGTTTTTCTTAAGTATGTATTTCGTTCGCGAGGAACTGTGATTCCGAGAGGCCATAGCATGGCTTGTACTAAATTTATTCGCCCTGGCCGGTATACAATTTGACAGGGTAATCATTCAATGCGTTTCCCTAAAATCTTTCGATAAATTATCCGAAATTGTGTCACGACTCTCTTTACCAGTCGGCCCGGGGCCTGTACCCGAGAATATAACTTTCAGCGTTGTGGCGATGTTTTCTTAACTACAGAATATTTTTTTCTTTGTAGCACTATTGGCTCTAGCGTCGCAAAGAGTTGAATTTTTAGCTTTAGAATGGATCGACACAGAATGGACGAATTCGATTCTGGTGGAAATGACAAGAAAAGAAAGAGGCTCCATACCCGGACCCATAGAATCCGGAATTATAATATACATCATAAGTAAGTATTTTATATGTAAAACATAACACAATGTCTCTAGTAATTTACAATGTTATTTTAAAAAAACCGCTAAAAACAATTTTAACTAATAACTACATATTTTAAGACAGTAAAAACATTATTTATATATTTCGTTCTTTACCCTGCGACTCTTAAAACTAAAACGAATACATTTTAAAGAAAAGTTATTTAAAGACTTACATTACTTTTATTTTAAATATGTATAAATATTACAAAGGTCAGATTTTGTTGCAAAATAATTAATTTTTAAACCAAAAATAAAAAAAAAATTAAGTAAAAATAAAAAAAGTTTTGCCAAAAAATCCGTGTTTCGAAATGACTGTGTTGAAGCACATCCCTATGTTTTATTTTTTAAAACAAGTATTTTATTTTGCTGAAACTGAAACTGGTCTCGAATTTTATGTACCACGACTGGTTTTTATTTATATTTTATTGTACAGAATTATTAGATTGATGATTTTGAAATCGACTCGTATTTTCTAATATAAATGTAATAAATTTAGGCATATTTTGTGATAAACATTAAATGTATATTATATGTCTCCATTAACGAGGCAACAATGGCCATAAATTAACAGTCTAATATCATAAAGAATATAGAATATCTTAAGTGATTAAAACTTAAAAACAAGACACAATACTATTATATTAGTCAGGAAGAATAATTACATATTGTATATTAGTTTGTGATGTAATTGGTTTATTTTTTTTTTTTTAATTGAGGTTTAATATGGAGAGAAGCTCACTCATTGTACTCGGAAGGCTTAGTAGAGTACATAGGTGACTTGTGGAACATTGTCGATTTCATAACAAATGTGTTTTATATGTTGTGGATTAGTTTGCGGTTTTCTTCTTGGTACATAGTACAGGTCAGTATTAGCATACATAAATAATTTAGACGATTATATAATAATTTTAATCTACATATGGTGATAATAACGAAAGAATATTCCAATTTCAATGGTTTACGATATGTTTAAGTCAATTGAACAATTATGACAATTATACCAATATCGAAAAACATATAGAGAATACCATCAAATATGTCTCAACTGTAAAATTGTACAATAATGATTTACCTTAGCTTAACCCGTCCAGTACATCTTGAGCTCCGGCGGCCATATAAATGTAATGATACAACCGGCTTTAGGTATACTTGACGGGCTATAAGGTAAAATACTATAAGGAAACCTTACAATATCAACTTTTAACAAGAATTTTGCACTGTGTACCTACTTACCTAATTAGTTCTCAATCATTCCCGGGCCTTTTATATTCACTACATCTCCCTCATTTATCATTATAATATTAAGGATACCTTTTTTTAATAGCTGTTTTATTAATTTTAATAAAACTAGTCATTTTGTTACAAAATTTAAAATTTTTCTAAAACTTTTATGACTACAAACATCATATTTTGTACTTGCACACTTTTCGTCTAAAACTTAACTAATAATTTTTGACTCTGTTTAATATAGTCAAACGTATTATGTGTGTTACTTTTAACGAATGGCAATGACATACCGTCTCTAGGTTTTTACAACTACTGTAGTCGCAGTAACGTATAATTAATATTTATATATATAGGTAACAAAAGAGTTTCTCTGCATTTGAGGTACACTTCAAGCTTACTTTACTTTCTAAATTATTCAGACAATTAAAAGTGTTTATACAATTTAATTATAAACCCGTATGTTACGGTAAACGGTCTACTTAAAGCTAAAATGACTAATATAAAGGTCATGAAAAGAAAAATAATTACTAACTACCAAGAAACCCGTTAACGTATAGTTATGTAAACGATGGGATTCTGGTGATAATAATAGTTGCCACAGCCCATAGCCCCAAATATAAATGAATGGTCGTCAGTTCCGTTTTGTGTCCAGTCCTTAGAACTACAATGAAATAATACAAAATGTACACACACGTTAATAAAATATTTATACAAATAAAAAGAGTACTAATATTAAACAAAGTATTAAAAAAATAATAAAAGTTTTGAATTACCATAATTTAAAAAATTTTATATTTAAATTTTAACATGTATAATATAGGATCATTGCAACCTAGTAATAAAAATAGCTAATATCCGATTAAATTATTAATTATGGTTAAGATGAAGCGATTGCAATTTTCCAAATGCAAATGTTTTATCTTTCACAACGGCTTAGAAGGTTCATATAATGTTTTTTTTTATTTTTAATTAAAATTAGAACAGCTTAGTTTCAAAACAATTTAATCATAAAAACATATTAAATATTGACGTCGTGGGCGTAACTATTAGGTTCAAATCTTGGTGCTAAAATCAATTAAGGCTCACATAGTCGGGCATTGTTCTGACACCCCCTAAACATTGTTCCTAAATGTAATAATTATAAATAAAAATATTACTTGTACAATTCTCTCAAAATAGAATTAATCCTGATGGGTAAAAATTGTCATATTTTTCTTAGTCGCTACCAAAATTAGAACAAATCGTTGATGAGACAGCTGAAATTAAACAAAATCTGTTTACAAATTTGTTTTGTTATGAAGTAAAATATTTATAGTAATATTTTATGCGGCTGGAATAATTAATTGAATCTTAATAAATTATAAGTTATTATTTTTGTTACGCTATGTATATTATTTTTAATTGTAGTTTAAGTTGTAATTAGCCGTTGATGATTTAATAGATAATAACAGGTAGGCATTTAAGGGGAAAAAACTACAATATTATGTAAGTAATTGAATCGAAATAACTTAGGGTACTTTTTCACCTTATTGTATTAAATTACTGGTCATTATCTCAAATTTGTCCATACTTTGAAAATTATCATGTAAAAAACTACTGTACATAAAATAATATAATAATAATCAAAACTCACGTTTAACGTTATTCAATGTTATTTCTTATTAGCCTAGTGAAAAAAAAATTTGGATCTGATCGTAAAAAAAAACTAAATGTGTCTGGTAATAAAATTAATTTATGTGTTATTGCGATTGCCGATTGGTCCGAATCACGCCAAATTTGGTCTAGTTAGGTTCGGCTCGCACTTCGAATCCACAGTTTAAAAAATCAGTCCGCACTCCGGTGGTGTCTTATTAAGTATGAGTCGTGTTTATCTTTCTATAAAAAAAATATACATAGGTAGAAATTCAAGTATTGGACAAAATGTCAGTCCATATTCTGTATTACTAAAATTTAAATTAGTACCTACTACCCTGCTACTACCTATCTAATCATAGTTAACGGCAAGTAAAAATGTCCATTTTTTAGGGAGCTATAAACTCCTTCTTATCTCTTTCCCAAGTTGCACTTATGTTAAAGCTAACTGTTAACAAGTATTTTAAATTGAAATAACTACGGGCTACGATTACGCATAGTAATGTATCAAAACTGGTATATTTATAGTCTTTCATATTTAATTTTTGCAAAATAAACGTATAACATAATTTATTATTTTATGTTTCCAGATTAATAATTAATATACCCTAATAATATTATTATTAAGGCATAATTATTGTATAATAAAAAAAGTTAATAAAAAAAAACCCCTAATTTGACCAAATGGTCAATAGGTATATTGGCGAATACAACGTGTGTTATCATATTTTAAGGTTATGTTTACACTTTGTAGTGATAAAATGAGCGGCTAATTGTGTAGTGAATAGAAGTGTTTACTTCTATAATTGTCAACGCTTCGTTTAAATTTTACTGTTTAATTGATTTATTTTTTTATTACAAAGTTAATACCGTTTGTTTGTTAGTGTTTTTTCGAGTAGTTACAAAATTAGTGTTCTTTACGAAAAAAACATACAGAGGTGTATCGATGTATGGTTTTGTTATTTACAATAATTTTTTTTTCAAAAAATTAAATTCCTAATCTAAAATTAAAAAATTACTGTAATGTTTACTTTGTGCAAACAAACGAGAGTACCGACTTGCGTGGAGCATGCTGTATATTGCTACTTCTTCAACCGTGTAGAAAAATGTCTTGTAGTCGCTGGTGTTAATATTTTACGAGTGTATCGGCTTGTTCCAACTGACACAACATGTCATCCTCCCAAAGCGAAATTCGAATGTTTAGCGCAGTACACATTGTTTGGCAATGTTATGTCCATGCAGCCTGTAACGTTATGTCCCAGCTCACCAGATGCCCTGTTACTCAGCTTCTCGGAGGCCAAATTCAGCTTAGTTGAGTATGATCGTGACACACATAGTTTGCGTACACTTTCTTTACATTATTTTGAGGATGACAAATTTAAAGATGGCCGAACTCAACACTGGTCTACCCCTATAATAAGAGTAGACCCAGATGGCCGGTGCGTGGTAGGCGTAGTTTATGGACGGTATTTAGTCGTATTACCTTTTAGTCGTACAATAGATGACCATGCAAAAGGAACACAAGTCATGCCTAGCTATACGATTCCAATTTCACAAATAGAACCCAAAATGAACAATATTCTTGACTTTGATTTCTTGGATGGATATTATGAACCTACATTACTCATTTTGTATGAACCAATTAAGACATTTGCAGGACGTATAGCAGTAAGAAAAGATACTTGTGCAATGGTAAGTTTTTTAAATTTTATGTATAAAAAAAAAAAATTACTGATAAAAAAATTAAAAACATTTTAGGTTGCAATATCGTTAAATATTCAACAACGAGTACATCCAGTTATATGGTCTTTAGATTCACTTCCATACGATTGTCAAAAAGTTATTCCAGTTTCTCGTCCGATCGGTGGAGTTCTAATAATGGCAGTCAATTCACTAATATATCTCAATCAAAGTGTTCCACCTTATGGAGTAGCTTTAAATTCCATAGCAAAAACAGTAACAAATTTTCCTTTAGTACAACAGGAAGATATCAATTTAGTTTTAGATCGTGCGACAGCAACATTTATATCTAACGATAAATTAGTCACATCTTTGTGTAATGGTGATTTATATGTTATTACACTTTTCGCTGATAGCATGCGTGCTGTAAGAAATTTTCATTTTGAAAAAAGTGCCTCTAGTGTTTTGACAACGTGCATAACAGTATGCTTGGATTCTTATCTATTTCTTGGTTCCAGGTTGGGAAATTCATTGTTATTAAGGTATTACGCACGGTCTCAAAATAATGAAAATGAACCCAGTATGAAAAGAAAAAAAACATATGAGATTGATGAAGATTTAATCGAATTAGAAGTGTATGGTAGTGAAGTACAAACATCATTTTGTTTAGAAAGCTATAGTTTTGAAGTATGTGATAGTATTATAAACATCGGACCCTGCAGCCAAGCGTCTTTAGGCGAACCTGCTTATATATCAGACGAGTTCACTAGCGATGAACACGATGTAGAATTATTATGTACATCTGGCCATGGAAAAAATGGCGCTTTAAGTGTTCTACATCGTTCTATTAAACCTCAGCTTATAACTACTTTTCATTTAGATGGTTACAAAGACATGTGGACTGTTCACGCTGATGATGATTTTCACAGTTTTATGATATTAACCGATACAGATTCAACAATGGTGCTCCAAACGGGCAAGGAAATTAATGAATTAGACTCGTCTGGGTTTGCTACTCAAGAACATACAGTTTTTGTTTGTAATTTAAATAAATATATTGTTCAAGTGTTAAAGTACTCAGTTCGGCTTCTAAATGGCTCTGAACAATTACAAAATGTTCCGTTAGAATTGAGCTCACCAATTATCCATGGGTCGAGCTGTAACCCATATGCAGTTTTATTAACAGAAGACGGACAAGTTGTCGTTTTAACGATCAAGTCAATGGGTAGAATTATAGTCATGCGTCCGACCAATTTTGATAAAAATCCACAGACAAAAGCATTGACTGTGTATCGAGACGTAAGTGGCCTATTCTCAAGTGTAATGCCGCAAGCGGAAATTCCTGTTACAGGTCCAAAATTTAAACACGAGAATTTCATTGAGGATTCAGTTGAAGACGAAGAAGAGATGTTGTATGGAGACACTAGAGATCCGTCTACAAAAGAAGTGCCTCTTAGCTCTGTTTCCAACAAACACACTTTATGGTGGTTAAAATATTTAGAACAACCCGTTCCTACATATTGGGTTCTGTTAACGCGAGAAAATGGTTTTTTAGAAGTATATACATTACCCGATTTTAAAATAAAATACCAAGCCGCAAATATAGATGAAGGACCTTTGGTACTTAAAGACTGTTTAGAAGATGGTAATCTTTTTCCTAAGAAGACTGAATCCGTTAAAGAAATATTAATGGCGCCTCTAGGATATCAAGAAAAAAGACCCGTTATGTTTGTTAGACTGGAAAATGAAGTATATAAATACATTTTTGGCATTTAAATTAGTTTTAATTATGATAAACTATTTTTCAGGTAGTGATTTATGGTGTACATAGACATCCTGTTGGTACGTTGAAAATGCGTTTCCACAAATTAAATTCCATCTTGACATTTGAATCAAAATCACAACTCCATCTAGAAAAAACATCATTGCTTCGATATTTTTCAAAAGTAGCAGGTCATAGTGGTGTTTTCTTATGTGGACAAAATCCGCATTTGGTATTGTTAACAACAAGAGGTGAATTGCGTTGTCATCCGATGCATGTGGATGGACCCATTACTTGTTTTGCTCCTTTCCACAATGTTAATTGTTCACAAGGTTTTCTGTACTTCAACTCTAAACATAAATTGAGAATTTGTATACTACCCACACATTTATCATACGATGAACCTTGGCCACTAAGAAAAGTCAGTATTTAATTTTAATTTTTAATAATAATGAAATAATATTAAATTTTATTATATTTAGGTCCCACTGCGTAAGACTCCACACTTCATAGCATATCATTTGGAGACAAAAACCTACTGTGTCGTTACTTCTTCTTCCGAACATTCTGCAAGTTATTACCGTTTCAATGGGGAAGACAAAGAACTTACAACCGAAGAACGAGAACCTAATTTTCCTTTACCTCAACGTGATAGTTTTTCATTAGAGTTATTTTCTCCAGCATCTTGGGAACCGATTCCAGATACGAGTATTGAAACCGAAGAATGGGAACACGTTACTTGTCTTAAGAATGTCGCTTTAGCATATGAAGGAGCTCGTAGTGGTTTAAAAGGTTATATTGCAATGGGTACAAACTACAGTTATTCTGAAGACATTACAAGTAGAGGGCGTATATTTTTATTTGATATAATTGACGTCGTTCCAGAACCCGGTAAACCTTTGACTAAAAATAAAATAAAAATGCTATATGCTAAAGAACAGAAAGGACCCGTTACCGCTATAACACACGTAGTTGGATTTTTAGTTACTGCTGTAGGTCAGAAAATTTATATTTGGCAACTCAAAGACAACGATTTGATTGGTATTGCTTTCATTGACACTGAAGTTTACGTTCATCAGTTATTGAGTATAAAGAGTTTAATATTGGTGGCCGATCTCTTTAAATCGATTACACTTTTACGCTTTCAAGAAGAATATCGAACTCTTTCTTTAGTATGTCGAGACGCTAAGCCACTTGAAGTCTACGATATTAATTTCCTCATCGACAACTCTGAGCTCGGCTTTTTGGCATCCGATAGAGACCAAAATCTTTTAATTTATCTTTACCAGCCATTGGCTCGTGAAAGTTATGGTGGCCAGCATTTAATACGCCGTGGTGATTTCAATTTGGGTTCGAATGTGAATACATTCTTTAGGCTACGGTGTAAACAATCAACTTTGTCGGCCGAACGACGTGAAGTTATTGGATCAGACAAACAACACGTGACCATGTATGCAACACTTGATGGCTCAATTGGATATATTGTACCTATACATGAAAAAAATTACAGGAGATTGTTAACTTTACAAAATATACTGGTGCGAAACATACCACATCTAGCTGGTCTGAATCCAAAAGCATATCGTTCTTATAAAACAATAACACCAGAAAGAATGAATGCAACTAGAAGAGTAATTGATGGCGATTTAGTATGGATGTACATTACTAATTTGAACTCTAGACAGCGTATTGAAATAGCAAATAAAATTGGTGTTAAAACGATTGACTTGTTACAAGATTTATATGAACTCGACAAAATTACATGGCACTTTTAAAACTTTGTGTTTATTACAATACAAGTTCCTAGCGTTTTCATACGAGGTCATGTTGAAGAACTCCAATTTGTATTAAATACTGTAGTATCTATCTAAAATGTAAATATTATTATTGTTAGATAGGTATGTGATATGTGATACTTGCAGGGAAAAATGCACTAAAATAATATATCGGCCTTGACTTGTTTTAAATTACTCTAATTGTTAATTATTAAGAAGACTAGTTTTGTAAAAAAAAAAACACGCATTTATGTATAATATCTGAATTTTATTTTTTTTTTTCTTAAAATTATTGCTTTACTTCTCCTGATAAAATAATTAATAATTAGTTAATTGTTTTTTTTTCTGTAGTTTTTTTAAATAAAAAATGAGTTACATGGTTTCTAGTGGTACATTAATAGGCATTAGGTATTAAAATATTTGTTCAAAATCAAAATGTGATATGATAATAATGTTATTTGATGACTTAAAAAAAATAATGTGATACAAATGTATAATATTTTTGTAATGAACAGTATAAATATATGTATATATACATAATGTATACAGTTATTTTTAATAAAACATAAAATGAAATAATATTATACTATAATGATAAATAATGGTATAAATTTTATTTTTCTACGTTAATACATCAAATAGTATGCAAAAAAGCAATAATATTCATAAATTATTTTTAATGTATAAAAGTTATTATTTATATGGAATTATTTATATTTTATATTATAATTAAGTATGGTAAGATACAATTTGACTGTGTTACAATTAATTTTAAAAAAATTAACACATTTTTTTTCATTAATTGGTTTACTTTATTCAACTGAAAAATTTGTTAGTTTACCTTAAAGTTAATAGTGTATTTAAAAATTAATAATATGGTCTAATTTTTTGTAAGTATTTACTTTAAATTATAAATTAATAATTATTGTTTATAATTTTTTTAATAGTTAAATAGTTTGTTACAAATTAATCACCTCTAGATACATAAATATTGATATTACCTATTGTCTAATAGTAAAGCTATAACACATAATTATGTTTTTTTTTACAGTAAAAATGTATTATTATAATTAATAATAATAATTCTAAGATTGGATTATATTTTAAGTATACCACTGGAAACCATGTTCTTCTGAATGCTTAGGTATTCACTTAATTAATTACCTATCTACTATAAATATCAAATGTAAATACCCGATACATTATTAGATGATTAGATACATTATTGTATCTAACCATTCATTAATAATAATTTATTTGCTTTTTAGTAAAAACATAGTCTAGATAAGTCTACTCAAATTAGTTTTTTTGCAATTATTAATTATATAATCCCCTAATAATTAAAATAAAAATCAAACACCAATCTAACCAACTATTACAAAACAAATTACCGAAACCTACTAGACACTAGTTTGTCTATTTTTTATGAAAAATAAATACATATATTAAATAGATGGTCATTCAGCTTACTTAGAACCTAGACACATTAGGTACTTATTTAAAGAGAGGAATAATATGTGTCTTCGGCGCGTTCAGCTAAATTTAATGGTACCTATAGTAAAGTAGAACATTATTTATATCGAAATATTAACTCTGTTACTCAAAGTTTTAGAAAGTTGGATTTTTATAATAATTGTTGGTAGTTGCTTGATAACTAAACGTTAGGAATAGGATTCGACAAATAAATCACTCTGATATTACGAAAGAACAATCAAATATTTTTCTTACAGTATAAGTTATGACAAAAATATTTGTTGTAATGTTAAAAAAACAACAACGAAAAAATGTTTTATATATTTACTATGAATTTATTTTCATTTGACACACATAAAGCCTGACGTGGATTGTATAAAAGCAAATAGATTTAAAATCAATGTTGTTTTTAAACTCGTATTTTTATTTTTAGCATTTTTAAAATTGTTTTTCCTTAGATAGTAGAAAAATTTGTCGGGTGGTAACATATTTTGTAACATGCGATATGTAATTTTTAACCTCGGGTAGGTACATAGGAAGGAAGACCAAAAAATGATGTTAAGAAATTAATACTCGGGTAACATGACGGCTTAAAAACTTAATCTTTGGATGTATATACAGGTAGTATTTACCATAATATATGGTCAATGTTTCGTGTTCTAAAAAATGGTTAGCCAAAATGATGTATAGAAAAAAAGTATATTAGTATTTTTAAAGACATATTTGTTTACTCACACCAGCTCGAGCCAATTTAATTATTACTTATACTAGGAAATTTAGTAAATGTACCTATATAAAATTATATAATTTTAAACTAAATGTATGGCCTTCACTCCAATAACATTAAACATTCCATTTCTATAAAAACTTGATTTATAAATAATATTATTATTACAAGTTATATTCAGCTTAATTTTAAACTTTTATAATTGCAGTTAAAATATTAGGTATAAAAAAAGTAAGAACTTTTTAAAGAAACGAAAAGTTGCAATTTGTTGTAGCTTTGGTTGTGTATATCATTTACGGATATAGTATACGTTTGACAGACAGACCAAACTAAAGACTAAAGTAAACTAATTAACTTTATTAAAAAACATACGATAAAAGTTATAATAGGTATACATGTTACGAGTTACACGGTCATATTGCACAAATATAGATTCTCAAAATTAGAGTATACACTACATACAGGTAAAAAACGGTATGAAAGGTACCGTGCATACATATTTTGTAAAATAATGTTATAACATTATTATTGTAACTAAATGTCTACCTACAATGATTTATTTTTCCGTTGTACTTTTTTATGAGAAAAACATTCTTCAGACCCTTATGGGTTTGTTTTTATGGCGTCTCTCAAATATGCATGTCAAAATGTCGGATTCAATAAATGACACGGTTTTTACAACTTTTTTTAGAGAGAATACAACCAAGGATATGATCCGTGGTATCCTCGAGAAAATTGGGACAAATTCGATCCGCACCTGGTCTCAGAAGGAGCATTTGCCGCTGCTATGATATTCAGGTATACAATATAAAAGAAGCAGTTGTTACATTATTGGATTATTTTTACGGTTGATCTTTTTTTGGACTGGGCTTATAAAAAAAGATTTCTTCAATCCATTTTAGTCCATTTATAATGTATGGATAAAAATATCCACTTGTCGTTCATTCGAAAAATAGCAAGGTATTTTTTTGTTCGAAAATACATTTGATTGATTATGTATTTTACGGTTGTCCGTTGTGCTACATTAGACCTTATTATGTGAATATCTACGTATATACGATGTACGCACTTGTTAGATAAATAATTATTTATTAGGTACTAGGTACTACTATAGTCTATATATGTAGATATTAAATGCTTGTGAGTTGTGATATTTAGTTAGTAAGTATCTATAGCTATACGGAACAAAATAGGTACATAGTTTAACAACTAAAATTATGGGTAATACCTTATATTAACTTATTAATATTATTGCTATAACTAAATATTTAGTTGGCCGAACTATTTCTTTATTTATTCCAGCTATACCTACATTTATTGTGTACCTAATAACCCTATTTTAACAATCATTTTGCAATCATTACCGTGTATTTATTGTGTATTTTTAAATTATTTTCAAAATAACTGTTTTGAAAGTTTTGATTTTAGAATAAGATAAATTATAGGGAAATGAGAATGGCGTTGTAGATTAAAACTTGAAATGGGAAATAGTTTAAAACCATTAAAACATAGTTAAGTTACTCATTTATTAATATTATCTAATGGGCTTTTTATATTATGCCCAGATTGTAAATGTTTTAACTCCTGTCTTGAGAAGTGCGATAACGGGTTCTCATAAAAACAAATAACTTTCATTGAATGCAATAACATAATAATATTATGTTTAACATATAATCGGTAAACAAAAAAACTAAGAGATTTACTAAGAGAGTATACATGTAAATACATGTATACTCTTAAAGAAAGTAGAGTGGAGTCTTATGAATTATTATAATAATTATATTTCTCATACGAGCTCGCTACTTAATATGTTTGCTAATTTGATGTTTCAGTTTCTTAAAACTTGTACACATATTCAGCGTTAATCCTCACCTGGGTCCGCTGCAAATATCTCTGGGTCGTATGATTATTGACATCATAAAGTTCTTCTTCATATACACTCTTGTACTTTGTGCTTTCGGGTGTGGTAAGATTTTATATATAAGAAAAAATCACCAATAATTGTCTAAATGTACAACCCATTTTCCGTTTAGGTCTCAACCAATTACTCTGGTACTACGCAGACTTAGAATCAAAAAAATGTTACCATATTAGCACTGAAGAGCCAGATTTTGAAAATCAAGACAAAGCTTGTACGACGTGGCGACGATTTGCAAAGTTTGTACATTTTATTACACAACATCTTATATTAGTGTTAAACAGATAATATAGCCGATGAAACATAACTTTATACTTGGAAATACTATCTACGGCCGAGCCTACAGCTCCTAATATTGTTTTGTAAAAAAACTGCTGATTAACAAAATGTGTACTTAAAAATAACTTTCAGCATTTTCGAAACGTCGCAGTCGTTGTTTTGGGCTGGGTTTGGCCTGGTAGACTTGACGGCTTTCGAACTGAGCGGTATTAAGAGCTTCACTCGTTTTTGGGGCTTATTACTGTTTGGATCGTACTCTGTGATAAACATCATAGTTTTGTTGAACATGCTCATCGCTATGATGTCGAATTCGTATCAAATCATTTCGGTGAGTTTTCGACATTTTTATTTTAACGGATTAATAGTAAAATACGTCCCGGAAGTGTTGTACGCGGTGTATCGTTATAACCAATATCAAACCCTATGTACTTTAAACAGGAACGGTCCGACATGGAATGGAAGTTCGCGCGTAGTGCTTTGTGGATTTCGTACTTTGAGGATGGAGATACCGTACCAGCGCCTTTTAACTTGTTCCCCTCGTTGAAAAACCTCAAACGTATGATGGGAGTCGGAGCGAGCCAGCGGACTACGGGGTCTATGATTGTAATTAAATAACTGTATTATTATTATACGTGTTGTGAAATTTGCTAGGTCCGACTGAACCTAACTAAATTGTTTTTTGTCGTTTAGTTCAAATCTCGAGAAAAAGCCTTGGCCCGTCACGACATAGTCATGCGGCTATTGGTCAGGCGTTACGTGACGGCGGAACAACGCAAGAGCGAAGAGTTTGGCATCACCGAGGACGACGTGACGGAGATACGACAAGACATATCTTCGATGAGGTTCGAGATGATCGACATATTCAAACGGAACGGATACAAGACGCCCATAATGGACGGCGACCCGTCTGTCGGTAAGTATAATTCACGCCATGGCGTAGTATTGTGTATATCAAAATAAGCAAACAACTATTGACACATAATGGTGCACGACGATTGTTTTCTAGCTCAGGGCAAAAAAGGACGCGTCATGGAACGTCGTCTGTTAAAGGACTTCCAGATCGGTCTGGTCGAAGGGCTCATACAGGAGGCGATCACGTCTAACGAGAAAGGACCCAAGGACGTGTTCAGCAAGATCGCCAAGGCCATCGGTCGGCGGACCAGTCAGGGGAGCAAAAAGAAAGATTGGAACGCCGTTGTCAGGCAAAAGAGTATTGCCAAAGACCCGATCGGCAGTACAACAGAGGGTATGGAACGGCGTCGTAGGCAGAGTATGCGTCGCTATATTCTTGACCACCAGAATGAGGGTCTGCAGTCGATGGACCCGGAGAAACTCATCGAGTACAATCCTCTGCTGGCGGAAATAGCACCGGCGGCCCGAGTCGCGTACGCCAAGTTCAAGATACCGAAAATTAAACAGGAGTACGAAGAGAACACGGAAGAAGTTTCGGACGAAGTGGTCGAGAACGTGCCGTCGGTGGATGTGGTGGACGAGACAAAAAAAGATTCAATAGTCAGGCCCAGGCCGAAGGGCTCGCGCAAGGATCCGGCTCCCGGGGCTCTGCCTTTTCCGTCTACTAGTTCGGAAAAGCCCGGGGACTCGTTAAAACGCTGTCCTTCCAAAACAGCTAAGCCGGTCGATACGGTACCTAAAGTGGAACAGTCTCCAGCTCGGCAGCAACCGAAAGAGACCGCGAGGCAAGTAAGAAGTGGCGGCGAAGAAGGGAAACCCGGAGAAGTCGAAAAACCGCAAGAGGTCGCCGATATTTCTGGAGAACAACGATCAGGACACGAGTCTGAACAATCGAAACGGGATGAGCCGGAAAATGCACCTAAAAGCGGGGATGAGCCTACGCCGTCTACGTCCGAAGAAGCGGCCGAGGTAAAAGGCGATGACAAGTTAAAAAAATCCGAAGAAGACCCAAAAGAAGGGACCTCGAAAGAGACTAAGCCGGTCGTGAAACATTTGAAACCGGAATCGCCCAAACGTTCGGCTAGTCCGAAAAAGCAAGGCGGTAAGTCAAAAGTGACTGGAGAGATATTGACTGGTTGGCTGTGAGGTCCGCTTGAAGATGTTCTGGGAAAACAGCAAACAAAAACATGGAAAATGTATTATTATAAACTTAATTTGTAATACTTTTGTACAATATGTAGATTAAATGTCCTAGACAAAATTGTTTACATCATAAATCTTAAAAAAGTTAGGTAGGTTTTCTTTACTATAACATACTATGAAAATGATACGTTAATTTTTATTTTATTTTTGATACCATTATCAACTGTATATTAATGGAACTGACACTTATCTTTATGTAGGCCGGTTAAGAATTTATCCGTTTAATTTATTGTTTTCAGACAGTTTAATGTTATCAGTGTTTATAGGTGGTCTCTAAAGCGTTTACGAACATATCTACCGGATTGAAAACTCGTAATGGCGCTTTTTGTTTTTGATGACATTACTATTTACTACTCATACTTTATTCTTTATACCTACTAGTTATTTTTTTTTTACAACAATTATTAATAATATGTACAAAGTTAAGAGTTTGATAATTGTTTGTGTTAATCAATATAAAACCATTGATTATAAATATTATTTATAATCAATGCTAAAACGTTTGTACTTAAACTAGTATACAACGGGTACGTTTTTATACATAATAATAATAATCAATATCGAATTTATATTCTTGGAGAAAATTACAAAAATGCATGCGTCACTTACGGATTTTTATGAAGTCGCTAAAATCGATTTATACAAATATTTTGTCAATTTTCCCACTATAATCACATTTATCTTTTTTAGAAGCGACGAATTCTATTATATTATTGGATACACTAATTACTAAATTATAAAGGTATTATTCGTTCAAATGGATTTACGCACAACCACAATACGGTAAATTAAATATGCGCATGTATATACAAAACTACATTATTATGTAATACTCGCATGTTTTACTCTTTTACCCTTTTATCGCCGATAATACCCTATACCTCTTGCATAATTGATATCTGTATATAATATATACATATAGCATTTATATATTATAAAAACTATATATATGTATGTATGTATACACCACCGGCAGGGGAATACGTGCGCGGTCCATCAAGCACACGACTAGTCGGATCGTTTGGAAAGATAAAAAGGCATAAAAAGATGTGCCTACATAGTATGACATTATTATAATGTAGTGCGTGTATTCTGATCATCTGGAATAAAGGTCCCAAGGCTCATTACCGAGGAGACGTCGGCGTTGGCGCTCAGGCACTATTACCTTTTGTGGAATGCGTTAGCTAGGCATAGCGTTTCACTCCTGGTCCCGTGCGCTAGCGCCAATTGTAATAATAACGTCTTGAAATGTAAATAGGCCGGATCGCCTGTTCGGACCGTTTGACGTACGGACGCGCGCCGTTTCCAAAAACCGTTCCGACTCACCGGTCGCTTTGATCCCGCGCCGGTTTTCGGCGCCTGGCGCCACGGTCTTGTGCGGTTGACGAGCGGTGGCGTCTGCGGTTACCGGTTACCGGTTACCGCGCGACGACTCAACCCCATACCGAAAACCTCAAAAGTTCGACGGCACCGGATCGCGTGTGCGTTGCCGTGGAATTCGTGGTGCGCCCCGCGATCGGGTGACATGCGGTTTCACACGTCCGACCTCCGACGTCGCGAGGACGTGTACAAGTTGACATGCGGCATAACAAATAAGAAGCGAAGTGCCACGTCGGATGTTTATCGGGACACGCCGTAACGAATGCACGGCGTGCGGACGGGAAGAGGGAGGGGGGGGCAGTAGCAGGGGGGTACGGGTCGAGGGCGACTTTGCCCAAAGACGGATCTGCTGTTGTCTTAAGGTCGGACACCCGGGGTCCGTGAATAATCGTCCTGACGACCGGCCGCCGCCCGGCGGGGCGTCCATCGAGAAAGAATAAAATAATCGTAATAATAATAATCGATCGAGCTTGTCTGATGATTATTATTATCGTTTCGAATATTGTAATAAAACATTTTTGTTTTAAAATTTTTTTTTTTTCTGGCGCGAGGCGCGCACACAACACAAGTCGGGCGCCACCGGTGCGGTTTCATCGAAATGCCAAACGAAAAAGGAAAAAAAGTCTCGGCCGAAACCCGAATAACCGGATGCCAACTCTTGTAAAATGTATACTCAATAATATTTTATTATTATGACGGACCGACTCGGCGATACGGTCCGTTTAAACGCGCGACGCGACGGCCGGTCCAACGTGAGTTTGATAATGATTAAACTGTCTGTTTTATGACACGGGTGTGATTTCGAACACAATAACAAGTGATAAAACACCTTGTCCGTTTTTGGGATAGCCCGACCACTTGATTTCTATTAGTTCGGATGATGGTAATATTTTCCCCTTGACCTCGGTAATGGTGTACATGTTAAAATAAACAGGTATATGTCAGCAACTCGTGTGCTGTATCATTTTTACAATATGGCTGCTGTTTTACTCCTAAAGAAAATATTATGATATCCTACAATAGTCTCAGAACACCGCTGACCGTTTAGCAGTTGTCATAATTGCTGAAATGCTTATTATTATTACGTTGATCATGCTTAGTCCGCTCTCATTCAAATTTGAGACACATTCGGTTAGGCTGATTAGGTATTTCTCAATAATAAATACGCATTGTTATTGTAAATTTAATTGGAATGATTAATGCACTTATAAATATCGCATAAAACTAACGAATACAAAATTCACCATTTTAGTATCTATTATTAACGCCGTAGGAAAATATAATAGCCACTCTGACAACCTTTAATATTGGACGCAATATTTTCCTTTTTAAAGTGTTTTCTAGTAAAGCTTTAATTTTAAATTGTAGCGATAAAACAATAAATAATACTTATAATATTATAAAATTATTAAAATGTATAATAATATTCAGGGCCGTCTTAGACTATGCAGGGGCCCTTGAGCACACAAAATTTGGGGGCCCTTTAAGAAAACCGAATAAACCGCAAAGATATAAATTGTATTATTCGGGCCCCTATCAGGCCAGGGGCCCTAAGCTCGTGTCCCGCGTGCCCTTAAGGTAAAGATGGCACTGATAATATTATAAAAATGAAAAAAGTAACAGTCTAAGTGTCCCGAAACTGATTGAAACCTAACCGAGTTAAAACAATTAGGGCACATATTATATGCATTGGCATAAGTATAATGAGAATTTCCAAAACTTTCACAATAATCGTAAAATGAATTGTTATCGGATTGACCGGATTTGACCGGTAAACGAAAGTAAACATTTCGGATATATGTCCAATGGTACCAGGGGTATATGTTAAATGTCCACATCGGACAATGTCCACCATACGCGTAGCTGTACAACGAACTCTTTGCCGACAACGTTTGATAGCTAGGCTAGGCAAGACTAGGCTAAGCTAGCCTTTTTGACGACTACGAGCCACGCTGCGCCGCCCGTGGTTCATCGCTGTGTATTATAAATATTCTATCCGCGCATCTTACCCTAGTACCAACAAGTTACAATCTGTATATTACCCTGACGGAAACAACTCGGATATTGATGCGACAGATGGGATTAATTCGTGACAGGTTGTAAAGAAATGACAATGTAAAATATACTAAAAAAATTACGCTGAACCAATTTTGACGGTACCTCTGTATTTTTCATAAGACGGGCTACAATCTATGTCAATACAATTTTGTTATTTATATTGTCATCACCCAACAAGACAAGGTTTAAGTTTAAAGTTGTTTTATCTAATAACTTTATTACTATTAAAATGTAAAAATAATAATTGTATTGTATAAGTAAAATTATAATGTACAAGTAAGTATTTTATTAATTAAATAAAATAAATAATTAAAATAGAAAATTAGAATTAGATAATAATACTTAATACAATATTTTATAATATGTATATTGTACATTTTATAGACCGTTACAGAAAATGATTGGGTAATTATTTAATACAAAATTATAAATGAAATTTGAATAAACAGTGATGATATAAATAGATAAAAATAAGAACAAAAACCAAAAAAAATTGTTTTCGTTGATTTTAATTGATATATTGTGCTTAAGAAATAAAACTGTATCCATTTAACTAAATTAGATGCATCGACAAGTGCGTAATGCAGTTAAGTAAGAGACGCTCACGAACCGGAGTTCCAATCCGTTTAATCCGAAAACTTTTTTTTAGTTTTTTCTCTCTTTACTTTCATGTTATTTCTTTGTGTGGTTAAATTTAAATAATTAACAACTACATATCATTGCTATTTAAAAAAAATATAGGTATATTTATATGTTTAGGCCGTAACGTAAAATAAATAAACTGGGTTCGATTCCGATTCACCTTAAACATATTTTTGTAACATTTAAGCTATGCCTAACACATACGCGTAACAACAAAACAAATACGAAGAGCGCCATAAGGCCAAAAAAATAAGACTGGAACCAGCTTGTACCAAATACCATCTACGAGTGCAGTGCTCATACAACATGATTCTCAAGAGAGTAGTAAGAAAAATAATTTTTTAATTATCTAGTATAAATTTCATATTTTATACAATAAGTAAATAAGTCGATTAGAAAACCAAACATGGGAAAACTAGATCGTTACATAAATAACCAATAGATAATAAATAACTTGGATTTCGATCCCGTTTCACACAAAAAAACAACTTTTGTAACATTTTAGCTATGCCTAAGACAAACGCGGAGAGACAAAAAGAATTCAAAGAGCGCCAAAAATCTATTTTCAGAACTTCTCAAGTAGCATCTACAGATATATATTTCCAGATATATCCCATTCGCCTCAATAAATGTTATCAACTTCATCAGAACTTGAACAATCATTAGAAGATAGAACTACTATCGAAACTTCAGAATATATCACTGTCGCCTCATATGATGAATATTATATACATTCCAAAGCTCACGCTCAATTTCAATCGAGGTTCTTAAACAATAACTTTGGTGCTGTATGTCCACTGCTCCAAATTGTTCATCGAATCATCTCTTGTATGTAGTACTTATTATGCCACACTTAAAAACTAAAAATGTTTACACATAACTATTGTGAGTAATTTCCACGGCTCACTAGTTTTTTTTTATGATAATAAAAGACTTGAGAACTTCTAGGATATACCGGCCGATTCTTTACACCAGTTTTCTCTTAAAATTGTTGAAATTTAGTAAGTTTTTATTTTTAAAACAATTTTTTAATATTCAAATTTTTATATTTTCAGTATTTTTTTAGAGCTTTATCGACATTTGAAACTTAAATGGCAACACAAACATTTCATTAACTTTTTAAATTGAGAATAATGTACTACAAATTTAGGATAAGAGTTGACTAATCTTAAAAATTTTAAAATGATTATTCAAAATTGATTATCGAACAATGTTTTTAGTAAATTATTCTTAATTTAAAATTTTAATTAAACACTTATATAGTTAACTAAATAAATATATAGTTTTAAAGGTCGATAAAGCTCCAGAAAATTTCAAAAAAAAAAAAAATTTTAATATTGTTCATTATTGTA